TCTACAACCAATCCCTGTATGTTCTAGTTGTTTGTGATTCTGAAGCATCCAAACTGAAATATTCCATATTAGCTTGATTGTTAGTCCATTGTGTAGGCCTTAAAATGACACATGTCAATCATGAAGTCTTATCTTGTTGTGTATCAAATGTTAGTGCTGACTGCTGACTTTATGGTCGTCTCTAACTAGCAATCCTTGTGGTTTATAGAACATCCTTGGCTCTAATAGGAGGATGGTCTGCGAGATGAAGCTAATGCCAAAGAAATGATCTCGGAACTCCATACAGATTATGAAATAGCCCTTTATATTATCCCCGTTCCGTTTTTTATTTTTTCTCTCACAGTCAACATTAAACAGGTTATGAATCTTGTAGTGCATGTTTCCGCAGGATGAAACAATAAAACTATGAAGAACTTTAATTTTAATTTTTATTCATGAATTCATCTTCTTGTTCATGAGACTTTTATTACTCCATCTGTTTCATAATATAAGATGTCTAAGGTAATTTTTTTTTGTTTCAACTTATATGGTGTTTTCAAGTTTTTATGCAAACCCTTATAAAGCATTAAAACTTAGCAAACAACGAGATAAAGCCGGCGAAGGTTACATTGTTCATTTTAAAAGTAGAAAACCTCAAAATTTATAAACGCAACAAAGCAAGAGGTCGCTACGATTACAAACGTATAGACGAGCACATGGTCTTTCTTTATAATTTCCACACCTCTCTCTCTCTCTCTCTCTCCCATTTTCCTTTTTTTATATACTTGTTCATCTTCTTATCCTTGAAAAGGCAAAAGTTGGTACTGATATCACTTGCAGATCTTTCTTTTTTCTTTAGATTTGCTTGATGATGGCTCCAGAAAGTACATCACATTCAAACGGATTAGACAAAGGCGACTCCACACGACATTTCGTTGCTAAATATGAAGAATGGATCCATAAGTCGATCCCAGAAAGTCTAGTCATGGAGGAGGATCGTGTGGAAACCGAGTCTGCACTTTCAGAAAACGAAATCTTTGGTTTTAAGAACGAGATCAAGTCACTAGAGAACTTCTTGTTGGATCGAAAGGTCTACAAGGAGTTCAAGAGCCTTGTGGTTTTGGGAGAATACGGCGTAGGGAAGACAACATTGTGCCAGATGGTCTTCAATAATGAAGATGTGAAGAGCGTTTATGCCCCTCGAATTTGGATTTCTATGTATAGCAAAGAGAAAAAGGAAGGAGAAGATAACAAAGTATTTGTACTGAAGAGGATCTTGAAGGGTCTTGGTGTTGAAGATTCGATCTACAGCGAGGTAGTAGAAGATGCTGCAATCAAGCAGGAAGCTGGAGAGATTATTGGAGAGACAGCGAAAGAGAAGGAGCTCTCTGCCTTACTCTATGTACTTAACTTGAATTTAAAGTGGAAGAAGTATTTGATTGTGTTTGATGACGTGCGAGAAGAGGATAACTGGAACGAGATGCTCAGGCTCGATGAGGACCAACTCAAGGTAACTAAATGGGGAACACATCTTTCGGATGGATTTCCTAAAGGGTCTGGTGGGAGAGTTATATCCACGACCAGGGATAAGTCACTGGCGGATAAGCTAGTTGCAAAGAAACATGAGATCCATAGTCTTTGGCCGTTGTCTGATCCTCAGAGTGTCTGGAAGATATATGAAGCAGAGGTCATCAAGAAAGGGAAAGAGCTTCCAAGAAACGACAAGAAATGCATAGATGAACTGATGAACAAGTCTCGTGGTCTTCCTCTAGCTGCTATACTTATGGCCAAGCTTGATCCCGTGTTTGTTGACGATGAAAATACTGAGCAGAACGGTTCTAGGCAAGGACCAACCGACCCAGATAGTATCTGAGAATCGTTTATCATCAACTTTGATCTTGTTCTCTTGATTTCTTGTATGTGTGTTTTTGTTGGATGTCGCCTGTTTGTAATAAACCAACTAAACCAGAATATGTAAGTAGAGTTTCTTAAATGCAACTATTTTTCTTGAGCTTCGTGTGGAGAAATTTTGTTGGTCTATATCTGAAGAAACTATAAGATTAGATGTTAGACAATTTTGTAAAATTTCTTTTGATTGTTTAAATGTGTAAAATAACAATCAGGACATGTAAGTCTGTAACATAGTATAGTTTGTATTAATGTTATCATTGTATTGCCAATTAATTTCAAAGTGGTAACACACTTTTAAATACATCAAATTTTTGATAGTGACAGCTAAGAGATGATACCATAAGTTGAAACCCAGATAAAAGGTTATATTAATACAAGTTTTTAGTTTAGACAAAACATGAATGTCTTTCTTTAAACATATACAGATGTGGCCGACAAAAGATAAATGGACATAGAGATGTGAAGTTGTGAACCACCACAACAATCTAATACCTCTAACGTCTAAACCTTAATTTGGAGAAAGATTTAGAAGAGGAAAAGAATGAAAACTTTACATTTCAGTTACACTTTTGTTATATTCATTCATCAAAATTTAAGTTTTTTTTATCTACACTCAATCAAAGGAAATGAATAGAAAAAGACCACACAACTTCTGGTCAAACAAAAGGGATGATTGGTGGGAGCTGTGGTTGCTCTCCACAGCTCTATATCTATCTGCAACACTCCAAAATTATCAATCATGCTCTCATTTTATTTCTTTCCATTTTTGAAACATAGAGCAATTTTATTTATTTATGGAAGTTCCGTAGCTGTGGAAAGCAATTTTTCTAGAGCACTAAATTTAGTGCTCTCTAAATTCTCTCTCTTCTCTTTCCTTATTATTTTGTCTATATTCTTTTTTTAATCTCTTATTTCTATATTTTTTTTTTTGTTTTAATATTTTATTAAATACACAATCTACAAAATAAAAAAATCTTACAGCACTAAAAATTAAAGCCACAGCCACATCCAATCAGGCCAAAAAAAAGCTAACGACCGAATACTGGTAATTTTTTACCCAAACAATTTATCATAGTCATTAATCAGAGGCTCGGTGAGATCTAAGAAAGAAAAAAAATGCTAGAGGTATGATCATTTGGGTCTTGGGCTTGGGCCAAGCTATTTTGCAATTCGTACCAGACTTCCAGCAGCCTAAGGGCGATCGAACGAGACGAGTGGCTCTCTGTGTTTCTTTGGGCACGATGGCTCTCTCCACTCTCCAGTCATCTCCGTCCCGTCGCCGATCGGAAGACGGAGACAGTAACGAGCTTATAGATGGAAAAAGGCGGGAAAATTGACTAAATTGCTTAACTTTGCATTTTCATGTTTATACTAAATTGATTAAAGTTGTGAACACAGTGGTGAGATTTATAGTTCATATTGGAAATTGCTTCACAAAACACATAAGTTAGCTCAAGTTGTGCACAAAGTAATCAAAACACAAGAAACTGATACGTGCAACTCAATCAATTCCCCTTACATCCATTTTAGCTTCAGTGCCACTTTTGCTAATGAACTCAACTCATCTACAAGTCTGAGGTTAGCCATTCTACGTATAAGTTCTTTGGACAATGCTGCTGCTTCAAGCAGCTCGTATTTGCTTCATTTTTCTTTGAAATCCCTTGGAACCGAATGGATTTCATCACTTCTTCCATTTCATGTTCCTCGATTCTCAATATGTTGAGAATTTCTCAGCTTCCGCTAACGTGCCTAGAGATATGATACCATCAGGGTAAAGTGGAGTATAGGGATCTGATCGAACTGTACTTTCCACAAGTTAGCTAGTTAATTTCTGTCCCAGTGATGGAATTGATGGCACAAGCTCCTGAATAACATATCTCCTAGCAATTCAAAAGTGAACCTTTTTATGTTTTCTTTTTCTTTCTCAAATTCCCTCAAGATTCCTTTTTGTTGTTGCTGTGTGTTGCTTCCTTGTTTTCGACTGATGTGTTCCTCATTTGGCTTTCAACTTTCAAGGGGTCGTTGTTTCTGAACATTTGGAAAATTTGAGTTTGGAATGTATCTTTTGCTTTATTCTGTGATACTTGTGGTTCTAAAGAAGCCATGAAGGAATAAGAAAGGTTTTATAATTAACTGAGAAGATCCTTGATGTCTATTTCTACAAGCTCAGAGAGTCTAAGCGTTAGCAAGTTTGATAAACTGCAGATGCAAAAGAAGGTAAACAAGGAACTATGTATCTGTTTAATTCTTCTGGTAAAAACTCAATTCTGTGCAAGAAACATTGTTTGCATTCAAGAAACTCTAGTCATAGATTCTGGATTATTGATTACAGAGTGACCGAACGGACAACATTATACCAGAAACACATAGAAGAAACAAAAAAACAAGCTTGATCACACAATGGAAAACGGCTCTTCAATCTTCTCAAGCCGGCAGAGGTTGACTTGTTCTGTTCTGTTCTGAAATGGGGCTGTTGTCTCATTTCTTGGTTGGTTTACCTCAGGTAAAATCGTTTTGCTCAGTATATTCATCGTCGTCAAACATGGGATTAATCTCAGCTATAAGTCTAGCAGCTAGAGGAAGACCACGAGACTTGTTCATCAGCTCCTCTACGCATTTCTTGCTATTCCTTGGAGGCTCCGTCCTATTCTCTTTGAGCGCTTCTTCATATATCTTCCAGACACTCACATAATCAGTCAGTGGCCACAGACGATGGATCTCATGTTCCTCTGAAACTAGCTTCTTCGCCAGTGTTTTGTCCCTTGTCGTGTATATGACTCTCCCACCAGACCCTTTAGGGAATCCATCTGAAAGATGTTTTCCCCATTTCTCATCCCCCTTGAGTTTCTCATCAAGCTTCTCGTCCCATTTGTCTTCTTCTCGCACATCATCAAACACAATCAGATACTTCTTCGGTTCTTCCACCTGAGGTTCAAGTGAAGTGCATAGAGCAGAGCAGCGAGCTCCTTCTCTTTCGCCGTCTCTCCATCACTTTCTCCGGCTTCCTGCCTGAACATGCACTCGTCTTTCGCCTCTGTTCTGATAGATGCCAACATGGAATCTTCAACTCCAAAGCCCTCCAAGATCCTCTTCAACACATGTATCTTCCCATCAAGGCCTTCCCCCGATTCACTGCTGTGCGTAGACACCCAAATCCTTGGGGCATAAACACTCTTCACATCTTCATTATTGAAGATCATCTGGCACAATGCTGTCTTCCCTACGCCGTATTCTCCAACGACCACAAGACTCTTGAACTCATTGTAGAACTTTGGATTCAGCAAGAAGTACTCCAACGACTTGATATCGTTCTTAAAACCGAAGATTATATGGCCTGGACGCGCAGAACTGGTTTCCACACGATCTGGCTCAGCCTCCTCCTCCAATCCCTTTCATGGTCTGGTGGAGGTTCTTCATCTTTGTTGTTGCGAATCAAGACCGATTCGGCATATTTTGCAGCAAAGCGTTGTATGAAGTCGCTTTTGGCTCCTTCTTGCTGTGAGACTTTTTGAGCCATAGTCCAGCGAAGCCAAAAAGATCTTTGCAGGAAAGATGGAATGGAAAGATATAGAGAGAGAGATGTGTGAAAATCAAGAAACACTTTAATTACAACTCACGTGATGTATTAGTCTGGACAGTCGAGTTTTGATCAACTTAAAAGTCATACATGAAAATCGTAAAAAATTGTTTGTAGTCGTTAGGGAATGGTGCAATTATCATTGTGCTACACCATAGTAAAATTGTTTGTTTACAATTGTATTTTGTCTTTCTGCATTTTCTTTTGATCAGAAGATAAAATAGTAAAGTACTAGTAATCAATTATGACATTGTTTTTGATTATTGATTGAGCTTATTGACTCTAATTTAAAATTTAGTAGTGGTTAGAAACTGGTGCAAATATCGATATGTTAAATTGTCTGTTGCTTCTTCCATTGCAGCCTCTTAAAACCAAGGAACCAGTTGAGTTGGGGGTCTATCATTGAGCCGCTGTCTGCCTCGTCTTCGTTTAGCCTACTGAAGACTGCGATTGTCCAGTCAGAGGGCATGACCATGAGGAGAGATGCAAGATCCAAAGCTATTCCAACTAAGAACAGTGTGTAGGTGATCACGGTATCGGCTCCATGAAACTCATGATTCTTCTTGGGTCTATAATGAAAGATGCAGAATGCTGACAGAAGAGACCCAAACGCTATGGTCCGAGTCACACCTCCTACCCAAGTATGAAGAACCGAGATTTTTGTGTACATACCTTCATAGATAAAGCTGAGCTCGACTTCTAAGATCCTCAGAGCTTCTTCGGGTTTTAATTTATTGAAGAATTCCCTGCTCTCATCGCGTTGCTCGGAGCTAAAGATGTTATTGACCATAAGATTCTTGAAGTTGTTCAAGGACCAGAAAGCAAACTGAACAATCTCGAGATGTGTCAAATCTCCTTCAGGCTTTTCAAGCTTTAATGGTCTTTGTTGTCTAGCATTCCGTTGCCAGGACATATCAGAGGGAGGGAACGAGTCCTTCTCCGAACGGTTGGTCTCATTGGAATCAGATTTAGACACCTTGAGAATTGAGCCTCTGAACTTGTCTGAGCTCGCGAGGTACAATGCAATTGTCCTCTCGAGATACTTAAAGGTCCCAGCAATGAACAAAAGCAGTATGATCACCCAAAGTGTATTTGGTAGAGATTGGATAACCACATAGGCACCTGAAATAGCCTGTAAAGCAAGGCCGAGGAAGTGTCTGTGCCAAAGAGCATTGTCCTCGAGAGAATATGCAGTGATGATGTCTGGTCCACCAAGATGCAAGAGCAAGAACGGCGCCCACAACGCCATGAGCTTCTGATCCTGGGGAGGATCATCGGGTTTTATTTCTTTCCCTTGGTTCTTGGCAATGAGACCGATTGCAAAGTTTGCGGACCAATCTGCTAAAAGATAAGATAACCACAAGACTAAAACCAGCAGTCTGTTGGGTGTTTCCTCAACGGAGCAAAGATGATGAGAATTGTCTGAATTGTGAGACTGAGAAGTACCATTCCTCTGATGTTCCATGTGTCCCAGACATCTTTGATATGTGGGGGAATTACTTGTACCATCTTCTTCTTCTGATTATTGGTTGTGATGAATGTTTGGATTCAGAGAGACTGCTTACAAAAGTTCAGTCATTGACTTCTCTATTTAACCAGAAAGTCCGCTGGTCTTTTTCTAATAGGAAAAAACTTCAAATGCCAACTTTCATATCGGTGAATATAAAAAGAGGTAGTATTGTATTGTTCAGCATTTTTTATTTACTAGTCTCTTTTGTCGTTTTCTTCTAACTGGAAAGGTATGGGAAGAATTATATTGCAGGGTAATCACAGAGATACAAAGATTTCAGGTTGAAAGACTGGAAAATTGTTTTAAGGGAGTAAAAACATCACAGTAACAGAGAGAGTTACTAGTAAAGCTCTGTGCATATTGATCACTTGGCCACCACTAATCTGGATCTAGCATTCTCCTCTGTTGTCTGGAATTGGTCCCCAAGTCCCAAATGAGCCATTAGGAGCCAAACAAAACTGAGAAATTCACCTCCTCTGCTGAGTTGTGCTACATGCTGTTTTGGGTCACAGTGAGTTGCTGCATAGCAAAGCATCTCAACCCACACTTGGCTCACTACCTCCCACATGACTTCTTTTTCTCCCTCCCCACTTAGCTTGTTTAGCGCCTTAGCTAAAATACTTGCATCAGCTAGCACATTCGTGCGTTGATATCTCTTGCCTTTTCTTTCCTTTAAATCCTCGAGGGAAGATATAATCTCTTTGCAGGCCAGCTTTGGGTTTCTTGAATTCTCAAGACGCTTCTTCTGCCAGAACTTTTTAGCCTCTGGAAAGTTCTTAGCTTCTGCTATAGCCTCCATGAACCTTATTTTATCGATTCCTGCAACTGTGGACATCAGAGCTGGCTGCACGATTAAGAGGTACATCATGTAGTCTGAAAGGATTTTGCTGAACTCGCGGTTGCATAGATTCTTTTCACTTATTACTGCTTCTGTTTGATATAGGAGCTCAGTGGCAACATGCCATATAAGGATGCTCTGATCATAGTCTACTTGAGTCACGTAATGCAGCAGTAGTTTCATGCGGTCTGTCACATTTGTACCTTTTCCTATTGATGTGTCCCCCAGCGCTCACTCACCTCTTGTCGAATATATTCCGTTGACATTCTCTGCGCCATCAAAAGATTTGGATCTACGCATAACCTCCTGAAAGATGAACTCCCACATCTCTTTCGTGATGCGATCACGTGATGTGTAAATCACCCCGTTGAGCTGATCTGAGATGCCGAAGAAGTCCAAGACGTAGTTGATCATTGGGATTCCAAACCAGAAACTAAGAAACAGCCTGAAAGGGTAAAGAGCACAGTTCAAAGCCCGGTTCTTACTGGATGATGAGGAGATGAGATGGTTCAGCGTCCTGCGAGCGTGGTTAGTCTTTTGTTTCATTGTCCTGAAGCAGGAGGTCATCTTTCGGATTGCGCAATCAATATACAAAGGAAGAATGACTGCGCTAAGAAACCGTGAATACAGCCCTTGGATCTGTGGATTCTCACAGGTTTTATCCCCAAGGAGTACCCAATGAGGTTGTACGCATATATGTGCTCAGACCATCTGCGAAATATGAATTATCTGTCAAGCACATGACAAATCCCTTTCCTGTGGGAACACTTGAAGTCCTTCCACTTGAGCTTCCTGAAACTGAGGAGCCAGTTGAGAAACGGGTCGAGCCTGCTGTCCGGATCTGCCACATCTTCCTTTGGCTTCGTAAATCTAGCAAACGACCAGTCGGAGACACAAAATATGAATATAGCAACACAGTCAAGTGCTATACCACCTATGAGCAAGGCGTAAGTTAGGCCGACATCGAATATGTTGTAGTCATGTTTCTTTGCCCTTGTGAAGATGCAGAGGGACGACACAAGGGATGCTAGGGCAATGATGCGGAAAGCAACTCCAATCCGGGTATGCAGAATGTCAACTTTGGTGTAAAAAGTTCCATAGATGAAGCTGAGCTCCACCTCTAGAACTCTCAAAGCTTCCTCTGGTGTTGATGAGGTGAAGAATTCTTTGCTGTCATTCCACTGATCAGACCGAGAGGTAAAGATGAGATCAACCACAAGACCTTTGAAGATATTGAAGTACTTATAAGCGTATTGGACAACCTCAAGATGGGTCAGCTCTGTAGATGGCCTCACTAAAACCCTGGGTCTTTGACCTTCCTCGGCCTCCTCGATCCTCAATATCCGGGTAGGCTCTCTAAGCATCTTCCTAGTGGAATACTTCCTCGGTCCAGGATCCGGCTCTCCAAGCATTGAATCCTTGAAGATTTCAAGACTCGCACCACGCAAGGCTTTTATCCTCTCAACGTATTTGATGACTCCAGCTACGAGCATGAGCGACGTGGGTATCAAGATATCGTTGGGTATCGAAAGCAAGAATACATAGAAAGTGACAATTGCTTGGCAAACAAGACCGAACAAGTTCCTGAGCCAGAGGTCATTGTCCTCAAGGGCAAGAGCCGTGATAGTGTCAGGGCCACCTAGGTGCAAAAGAAGGAACGTTGCCCAGGAAGCTAGTAGGTCGTTGTTCTTAGGTTGCGGCTCGTCTCCTTGGTTCTCTGAGATCTGTCCAACCGCGTACTCGGCTGCCCAGTTGGCTAGAAGGTAAGCCGACCAGATGAGAAACCGGAAAAGCCTCCTGTGAGTTCGTTTTCTGTTTGGTGAGAGAAGAACCAGGATTGTCTAAAGGGCAAGACTGAGAATCACCAGGCCCCGAATGTTCCATTTGTCCCACAGATCCTTCACTTCCTTCGGTATCGCCTCACCCATGTCTCTCCTAATCTTGGGCAGAACACCACTTCAGATCATGGTCGTCTTTTACTCTTTTTTAAAAAAGAAAACAAGGCTTGGGCATCGGTTTGTTCGGTTTCTGGATTCATTTTGTTCAGTTCTCGGTATTATTGGGGAAAAATCTCACCATATTAAACCGAACAAAATTTCGGTTTGGTTCGATTCGACGGTCGATTAATTTGGTGTGGTTGCATTTTATTTAAATTATGCCGAATTGAACCGATTTTTTTTGTTAATCGGCTAAATTTTATAGATAATGGTATTAGTGGCTGATGATGTACATGACGGAGATAGTCAAAATAATTATCAAGCAATGTTTATATGTATGATATAAATATGCGCATATATATAGTTATTACACAGTCAAACATATATAATAAATTGTATAATAAAAAGCACCAAAACCAGTTCCTTAAAATTACTCTCTTCTTAAAAATTTCAAATTTGCATTTGCAATTAAAAATGCAAAAGAAATGTTGGAGGGAAGTCTTTATGATATGTTCTTTCCACATTAGGTCAGTTGTTTATACATGTAAAAAAATGACTCGACTTAAAGTCTACGGTTGTGCCGATGTTCAAGAAGAAAAAAAGGAATATTAAAATATGGACAACTGTATTTAGAGCATTTCTATTGGTAAAGGTTCTTAAATAGAGGGTTCCCAAAAATAAAATACATAATTTGTTATACTTTCATATATATATATATTAGGAGGTGATCTGCGCTTCGCCTGAGAATTTATATTATTGTGTTAATTTTATTGTTTTTCCAAAAATTTAATTTATTTCTATGGTTTATTATTGTTTCAAAAATATTATACATATTAATTAAAAAATAATTAGGGTTAGGCAAAATTAACGTACCGTCTTGTCGCATCATGTCTCATTTCGTTCATTTTCAATTTTCATCATGTCTATTCTTCTCGTCCTATCTGTCCCGTCGAGTCTCATCCTATCACATTATGTTTCTTTCTGTTTTGTTATGTCCCATCATATTCCTTCCGTTTCTTCTCGTTACGTTCCCTAAATATACTTAAGGATAGGATAGGCAAAATTCTCGTTTAATCTCATCCCATCCCATTTCATTTCTTTTCATCTTGTCCCATTCTTACGCCCTATCGAGTCTTGTACGCCCTATCGAGTCCCATCCTATCCTGTTATGTTTTTTGTTTTTTTTCGTTTTGTCGTGTCTCTGTCGTGTCCCTAAATATAATTTGGGGTAGATGAAATTTCTGTCCCGTCCCTTCTCGTCCCATTATGTCTTTTCATCCCGTCTCGTCCAATCCCGTCTCATTCCGTTTTTTTCATCTCGTCATGTCTAATCTGTCTGTCTCGTCCGTCTAGTCTCATCTTGTTCCATTATGTTTCTTTCCGTCTCATCCTGTCCGGTCTCCTCTCATTTCATCAGAAAATACTTAAAAAAAATCAGTGTTCTTTATATAATATCTTGACATCAACGTAAATTATATAATCTGACAAAAATAAATTTACTAAATAATAGTATTTGTAGATCTATACATAGTCTTTCTCCTTTTTAAAAAATATTTTTTTTCATATTCTTGTTAAACTTATTATAGTAATGTATGCTAATCATTCTGAAGTTCAAAAATTTTAAAAAAATAAATAAATTAAATAAAGTATAAATTTAGAGTCACGCTCTTTTTCTTAGATTTGAAACCACAGAAGATGCAATTTCTGTAGGTTCCTAGAGAAATGTTCGCATAAGGAAGGCAGATGGGATTTTTGTAGGTTCCAAATGCGTTTTATGTAGGTTCCTTGAGAAAGATTCGCATAAGAAAGATAAAAACAGATAAGGAAAATTTCCAAAATGGGTACAAAATAGCTATTTATGATAGGTTCATTTAAGTATGGATTTTAGTAGAATAATTAATTATTCGTTAATAGTTGTTCTTATAATTGTCTTCTTAGATGTTAAAAAAAAAAAAAGATTCATGTTTTTATATTCTATGTGTTTTATAAAAAGTGTCATTTTACTCTTTTACACATATGTTAAGGAAACTATTAAAAATTCTAGTTTATCTTTATAATTATATTTAAAAGGTATTCTCTTTTTCGTTAATACACTAATATAAGAAGATTAAAATTGGATTTTAATTGATAAAAGTTCATTGTAAATACAAAGAGACACTCTTTGTAAAACAAAAATAATATTTTATGGTGTCCTCGAGAATCCCTCCACATTTTTTTCTTATTTGTTTTACAAATTTTAATATATATTTGACTAATTTGATTTGAGATACCTATTGAGATATTTTAATGGGATGCTATTATAGTTTTTTAAACTACACGACTTAAAGGCTACGGTTGTGTCAATGTTAAAAAAAAAAAATGATTTATCTAATAAAGATTTACCAAATTTACATAACTAATAAGGCTTGGACACTCTCAAGTCTTTGACACGTGGCACTCTCTTTTTTTTTTTTTTTTTTCGCCTAACACCAAAACGACGTCGTTTTGCGCTTTTTTTTTCGTCTTACACCAAAACGACGTCGTTTTGCGCTTTATCTTTTTTTTTCGTCTTACACCAAAACGACGTCGTTTTCGTAAAAAAAAAAAAAAAAAAAATCAAAATTATGTGTAATGTTGTTCGTTTTGATGGCTTGATTATTTATCGGACCTCTTCGTTTCCATGGTAGCTTTAAATGGGCTTACTGGCTAATTAGCTCATTTCATTTCCTTTTAAAAAGGATTGCAATTATTATTATCTATGAGTCTGTAGGATAATAATCAATCTATAATGATTGTTAGTATAAGGAAAATTAGAAGAACTCAACTCCAGTCGATAAATTATTGTATAAAAGAACAAAAAACATATGAAACTATTCACTATGAGTCTATATAAGATTTCACGTAAATAACAACTAAATTTTAAAACTATATGAAAAAAAACAAAATGCAAAACTTACAGAATCTAATATATTCGAGTAAAAAACAAATGATATATTCGAATCTAATGTTCTGAATAATTAAATTAAAAATATTTGGTTTAATAAACCCGCGCATTGCGCGGGTTCTCTCCTAGTCTCAGTAAAATAGTTAGGCCACGACGATTCTCTTAGCTGTCGTTGTATGATTTAAACAAGTTGCCAACATGTCGTTTTATCTTATTTATCAATGGCTATGCTAGCGGCCATCGAGGGGGTCAAGACTTTTCGTTACTTCTCTAAGGAAAACTACCATATAAATTTGGTATTTAATTTTTGTCTATTTGGTTTTTGTGTCCCCAAAGGCCAAGATCATTAGTCTTCACGATAAGATCTTTCTTGATCGTGTGCTTATGTTGACTTTGTAAGGTTAAGACTTAAAAACGGGTCTTTTTTTTTTAAGTTTTCTTCTGTAGTCTTTTATTTTATTTTATTTTCAACATTGATTATGAATTTAATAAGAAGGATGCGATATTGATATCTCGACCGTCGAAATAGAGTAGTATTGGGGTAATGGAGAAGTTCTGTTCGCAAGAGTATTAAAGCAATGTTTGAAATTCTTTGGTACAAAAAAATAATACGGAAATCATTTGGTCAGCTATTTCTAGTTTATAGGTGCAATGTTCCGTTTGGTGCTTTTGTTGTACTGTATATAGGTGTATTATACTTCCTTTTTCTTTTTTTCTTTTTTTTTTTGTGTAGACATCCTTTATTTCTACAACGGGAATCTAAAATAAGTGGCATTTTGAAGCTATTCACACCTATTAAGAAATTATTTCATTTTCTATTTTTTTTCAAAACAAAATATGTTTTATCATCATTTACAAGAAAATTCTACCAATAAAATTTCAATCTGCATAATTTAAATAGTCAAAACAACAAAATACAATTATTTTTTTTTACATTGAAATGTATAAAAGCTATTTATTTATAAACAAATTTTTAATTTTAAAAAGTCACTTATTTCAAAACAGAGGGAGTACATGATAATGACAAATTATAATGCAGAAAATGAAGTAAGCTAACTCTTGTCAATGGTCTGTGTCTTCTTACGAGAAAGATAACATGTTGAACAGTAGTATGTAATATCATCATCATCTCCTGAACAAGACATCAAGATCGAACGACCATGGCGACTAATGCATTGTCTGCAAAAAGGTTGGGTGGCTTGATTATCTTTGGGGACCAATGTGCGTTTGTAGCCGTCTGAGTTGAAACTGGCTCCTAGTCTCAAATTTCTGAAACTTCCTCCGAGTGCACAATTGGTATGAACAATGGTCCCACAGCTGAGACACTCGTAGAAATTCTTGTGAGGATTTACTTGTTGCTCACAGCTGTCGCACCAGTATTCGCTCGCGCTAGCATTTTCGCCGTGATTAAGGGCAAAGGGATGCGGATCATCTTCGTAATGTATAATGCTCGGTAAGGTGGCACACGCGAAGCACAAACCAAACGAACACTTTACACAGCCCAGCATCATCTGACGACTTGTGTTTTGATCGCAAGCGCCACATTTCATGTTATCTTCGGACGGCAATAAGTAAAGAGGATGGAGATGACCTCCGTACTTAAACGGATCATTGATCGAGACGCACTGTGTATCGAAATGAAAGTCACATTCGGAACAAGAGTATCTGAAACCGGTGGAGTTGTGATCGCAAGCAGCACAGTTGAAAACTTCACCGCCCTTGTAGAAAAGAGTAAGTGTGTGTTGATGGAGCGGGATCCTGATTTTCCGATAGAGCCTAGCGCATTTTCTGTGAAGAATGAAATCATCGCAGTCAACGCATTTGTAAGAAAGGCCGCGAAAGACATGGAAACTGCATGCGTTGCAGCGTTTATCATCGATAACATGATCGTCTTTGGTGTTGGTGAGTCTCAAATCGTGCTCCTCGTGACTGAAATGATTTATTTTGTCGCGGTCGCTAGTAAAAGTGAATGGATTTCCTCTTCTTGCACCCCTTCGAGTTCTTTTCCGTCCCACACGTCTTCCCTTGTTGCGCACCCTGTATGAACAGCAAAACCGTCCTGAGAAGATGAATAGGCCCCATATCTACCATCAATGCCCTTGCGACAAACTCCACAGTCCAACTTCTTCTCCGAGCCAAGTGAGAAAGTGTGAGAGAGTCGATGGGGATGACGATTGATGCGTATAACACGAGGAAGGTTGCTGCACCTTGTGTGTATCATGAAGCTGCAAGAGATACATACATACGGAGATACGTTGCCTTTTGTGCCACAAGCGTTGCAGGTGAAGGAGACTTCTCTCGGGATGAGATTAAGTGGATGCTCATGGGTCTTTGGTCGGTCAACAACAAGTGGATGCTCATGGGTCTCTGGTCGGTCAACAACATGTAGTGGTGGGTTCGTCGCACAATCAAGATGCAGACTGAAATCACCACACGTGTTGCAACCGTAGCACTTGTTCTCCTTCTTCTTCTTCTTCTCCTCGTTCTTCTTCGCCTCCTCCACAATCAGCTTTCCACATGACAGACATACCACTCCGGTTTCTGAAGTATCCTCGAGGATCCGGAGAGGATGTTTTATGTGCCAATGGTGATTGATCTCATCTGGATATCCCGTCGCATCTTTCTCCATGCGTCAATTTTTGATCAGATCTTTTTGTTTACTTTGGTTGGTACTGAGATTGATAAAATTATTGAATGACTTCATCTCGATCTCAAATTAAGCTGATAATGCCTTACCAAAATATAAAGAAAAAACAAAGGCAAACATGTCTTACTATATAAAAGTTAAGCTATTAGCCATTGAAGACTTTCACATGTATTTTAAAACTCGATCTTATTGTTTTACATAAACATTTTGAGGACTAAGAACATAAGTATTGGTCAACAAAACCATTTACAAATAAATATTATATAAAAGAAGGAAATTATATATAAATTTCTATAGTTTCCGTTAATAATTAAAAATCAATTTATTATTATTAAATTAAGAGTTTAGGAAATAAAGAAATTAGATTATATGGCTGAAGAGTGAAGACAATCTGGCACACCAAAAGAGTTGAGATACTAAATCTTATATATAATGAGAGGATAACTTCTCTCCAGTGGCCGCCACGTCAGCTTTTTCCCATTTTTTCTTCAATCGCCATGTGGCATTTCTTATATTAATTTTTCGTTTTTTTTTACATTTTCGTTTAAGGTCCCTACAACTTATCTTTTATTACAAAGAACCCTCAAAATCAAACATTAAAAAAATAAACTTACTCTATTATCTGTTCAAAGAGAACCCTGACCATGTCAACACTAGGCTTTACCCTCAAATGGTTTCTCATATGACTACCAGCTTTCTTTGCACAGTTTGCTGCCTATCATCATCCATTACATAACAACACACTCAAAGGTAGTTCCATATGATACTCTACACAGTAGATTTAGTAGAAAGAAAGAAAGATGAAAACCTGAGTAATCTTGGCATTGGCGAGAGCCTTAACTTGACTTGGGATATTTTCTCTTTGTCTCTGGTGGGTGTCCTAATGTACCTCTTTGATTCCAACCCCATGTGAACACCTGAGATCAATTCAAACGTACAGCTTAGGAAAATAGTGCTCTAAATTCTTATAAACTTAGTCACTCAAACTACTGAAATAAGGGCTAAAACCAGACCAATTCAATGATAACAGAGCTAAAACCATGTCAACAAAACAACTTTGACCTATTTCCTAACTTCTAATAAAAGAGTCGCAGCTTAAAAGACTTTTCCCACAAGAGAGGAAGACACAGAGCATCATTGGTTACCGATGAGACCAACCATGTTCATTGGTTCACTTAAATTTTTACAAGAACCTATAAAACCAAGCTTGAAAATCACAGCTTTGAATGCTTAGAGACAAATTAAGACAAGAGAAAATCTCATCTTGATAACCCAAAATGTATTGATATTGTGATAGTACCGTGCCATCATCGCAAACGGCGAGGGAGTTACGGCTACCGGAGACGATAGAGCGAACAGAGTTTGCTCAAGAGCTTCAACGACACAAGCCCATTCCTTTTCTTCGTTACCCTTTCTACACGAAGATTCGAACCATATATAACGATTTCCTATAATTCTCATATTCAAAGCACTACTATGTTCATTGGTCATCCCCTGCTTTCCAGGGCCTAACGGCGGTGAGGGGCGTTCTCTGTTCTCTTGGCCGACGGCGGAGGCAGCGGCTAGGTCAATTGTTTCTTTTTCCGGACGCAGTTTTGCTCAACAATGATTGCAAAAGAGGAAAAACATAAATAAAACTTGAGAAGAAACGAATCAAAGCTTTTAAAAATGATCACAAAAAGCTTACTTTGCTTGGAAACACCATCGCCTAAATGATAAAACCTAATTTCTCCAGAAACTCTGGAGAGTAGCTCGGATCAGGTAACGTAAATTTCCTGAGAACACAACAACAACAAAACACAGAATCGGCTATTGAAGAGGAATCGTCATTGTAACATAAGATCACACGACACAATCGAGTCAAGTTTTATCAACTTACAGGGAAAGTCACAAAAGGCTCTGGCGTACAATTAAACTCACCGCCTCCAAACCCTCATCTTCCTCTTCATCTGCCTCCTCGCCCTCCTTTGTAAGCAATCTACGTTGGGTTTAGGATGTTATGGGCAAGGATGTTATTCTTGCTGCTCTCTCTCAGTGGCCTCTCCATCTCATGGGCAAGGATGTTATTCTCTTTATGTTTATATTGTTTAAAACTAAAGATTTAACCGTTCATTTCTTATATCTTTAAACAACATATTTGATTTGAATTTTATTTCTATATTCCTTAAATAATTTATAATTATGTGGAAAGAGTTTAAAAAGGATAACTCTATAAACATATAATAATAAATATAATAATTTTCAAAATCTGAATTTATACTTATTAAATAGTTTAAATAGTTTGTAATACACATTACCCGTGCATCGCGCGGGCCAAGTTCTAGTCTATATAATTGAAAGGGCTTGTGACACTCTCCGGCTGATGACACCTCAGCACTCTCAGAGAGTGACACATCATCCCTTTTCTCATAAATAACACGAAATCTACAAAACATTTTTTGTCCTTGCTGCTGAGCTCCAAAACGACGTCGTTTCATATATTTAAAAAAAAAAAAAAAAAAAATCACACACAAATCCATCTTCTCGCCTCCCTTCTTCTCCGTGGAAACTGTGAGTTTGACAAACTCTCTTCCGCCCTGAGCCGACACGTGAGATGCCTTTACAACAACAAAAAAGTTATTCCCCGTTTTAATCGACTGCATTCCTTCCGGCGCGACCTTCTATATTCCATCGCCACCGTTACCGACTTCTCACTTTTCTGGCACTTAATGGCCGGCTTTCCTTCCGCAATTAACGGTCCTCCCCCTGAAATTCTCCTCGGCCACTATATATACTTCCACTCACAGATCCCGTTCCTCTAATCTCCAAAACTCAACTGTTCGAGCGTCCGTCCTCTCTCCTCACAAACACACTTGCCTGTCTCTCGCCGCCCCTCGCCATGGTTCATCGTTATCCATTTTCTCAGCTTCCCTCCTCTGTCAATTTCGACGACCTACTATTGGAGACTATCACAGCTCGCCTCCTACGTTTATGGGGTCACGGGAATTCAACCGAAACTGGGATTGTCACGCTTTTGCTTGATCAGAAGGTAATCAATCATCCTCTGCTCGAATATCTAGATTTAAATCCCTCCGATATGGTGTGTTTCAGGACTCCATCGTAGAAGCATACCTTCCAAGGACAATAGCTTCAGACTTGGCACCCAAGGGAGGGTCGTTTGATGTGGTCGACCAAAGCATCCCCTTTAAAGTGGCGAAGAATGGTGGTGGAGTTTTTTGCATGAAATACGCAGATAACAGTATTTTCCATGTGGTCTGTTTTGCTTGGAGATGGGAAACTAATTGTTACGTCATCTTTTGTTTTTTTTTGGATAAAAAGAAGATTGGCTCTTAACTTCACAGTCCCGAAGTCCCAATCCAATACTATATGTCTCATTGGAAATGAGTTCAAACCAATCTCAAACTCTATTTCCACTGCCAAAATAACAATCTCTGCAGCCTTGGAAATACGTGTGTAATATCCCTTTCCTCTTCCCATTCCGAATTTTGACCATCTCATTCTCACTTTGTTTTAGAACCATGATGTTTTTTTTATTCTGTCCGTCATTTTATATGTTGCTCTTTTGATGGCTAGGAGACAAAAAAAAACTGATCATATGGAGCTAAGGAGATCTGTAAGTCTGAAGGTCTTCCACTCTTACGGGTTTAGTCTCACCTAATCTTATATGAATCTGAACTTTTTCTTGTTTACTTTGTTGAAATGTAAATTGTATTTATATAAAAAAATAATAATAAAATACTTACAAGATGTTGTAATAATCCAGAGTTTGAACTTTAAAACTTTTTAAACAGATCTTTGCTGAACGTAGCTACAAAAAGAGATGTATGATGCAGAAAGAAGAAGAAACAGAATGTTCGAGGTGAAGACAGCAGCTGCACCATCTCTCTAAGAGCTCCGTTCTTCCCCCACCGTGATCGTAGTGAAGCGATAGGACCCTGCTGGAAATGTTACCTTGGATTGTGACGATGTGAGAGTGAGAAAAATGGGGAGCAAACTATCGTCACAAGTAGATACATTGTCTTTGGAACCTTGCTTTTATATTAACTCCATCATTGGTACCCATTTTTTTCTCAAGTCCAGTCCCCTGATTTACCAAATCCGTTGCAGTCGAGGTGGTCGTCGAAAGTTTTACGAAGTCATAGATACAAAAAGGAGTCTGGTATGCTGCTTTGTTGGAGCATGGTTTATATTTGCTTTTCCGACAAATTCCCAGATTTAAGATTGACTCTTCATGGGGTTGAGCTTCGCTTCTGATCCAGTGTTGGAGATCAAATATTATTCTCTCGCTAAAACTTTTTGACTCTTGATTATGCAGAATTTTGCGAGATGTGGACAAGCGCTGCTGTATTCATCCTGTTTTACAACGCCATAACCTTGCAGCAGACAGGAATCTTTAAAAATACAACTATGTAATGCTGAAAACAAATATAGCTAATGATGGAATGTGGAAATCTGTAGGTTGCAATGTACAATAAATTTTCATGTCTTTCCAAAATATAACATTGTTGCTTGTAGAAATAGATTACATAAATAGACTGACAAAAAAAAAAAAAAACGATCTACTACCGCAAAGACTCCGTATAACGTTAATGTACTACGAGTGGTCGCGCGTCATACTACGAGTGGCATTATTGGTTGTTGTTTCTCATTATCAATTAAACACCAAAAATAATTATTAGACTAACATATAATACGTATGATCACTGATTATATATAAAGATGAGATCTAGCAAATATGGCGAGCTTCCTCGAAAAAAAAAACATTACGAGAAGCAATTTACAACACTATCAAAGTTCGTTTACAATTTCACATATAAATCACATATATATAAGAATTAATCATACTATGAACGCTGTAATACACTTTTAGTGCTAAACATACTTTCAACTCACTTAAATATTATATAAAACATCATATACGAATACGAGCCTCGAGAGGAACATATCTAAAATAAGCACTCAACTAAAAGAGAGAACAAACTAAGCATTATATCTTATTCGTTACAAATACTACAATTATATTTCACTTTTGGTTAACATGAAATTCTAACAAAACAATAATATTACAAACTAAAAAAGGAAAATAAATAACATAAACTATTTGTACTACTCCAAAAGAAACAAACTCTTGTTCCATTTGTTAAATATTTAGAGAAATTTTACCCATAATATTAAGAGACTTTTGTACTTATATAAAATATATAAACAAAACAAAATAATATCAAGAATAAATAAAAAAAAATTGAAACAAAAACCCGCGCATTGCGCGAGTGCTCTCCTGTTAAATATGGTACTGAGTTCATAAACGCAATCTTATATATAATTAGGGAGTTGCTCTCTCCATCTAGAGTCTCCACATAAGCAAAAAACATTAAATTATATTTAAAATATTAATTAAATATATGACAATTCATATTTCTTTACATTTAATTCATAGTTAATAAAAATATACAAATTAATTAATTAATTAATAGAAAGTATGTGATAATTTGATGTTAAAATTTATCAAAAAAGTTGGAATATAAAATAAAGATAGAGTAAATAAATATTTTAACTTAAAATAGTATATATTTACCTTTTTATTCAAAGGGTCATCCTATTTAAAAATGTTATAATTTGTTTACAAGTAAAAAAGTTGAATATAAATTAATGAAGATAATAGAAAGTTAATGAAAAAATTAGAGTTACAGTTTTTTTTTCTAAACGAATAAAAATGGAGTTTTATATGTAAATTTAATTAAAGTGAAAAACAAGAATATGTTTAAAATTTTAACCTTCAGTCAAATGGTCAAAAGCATATACATATTTATAAATTTTAACCTTCAATCAAATACATATACATATTTACAGTCTAATAGAAGTAAGAAAAATGTAAACAAACATAATATTTATAACATGATAAAGTTTTAGAAATAGAAAACTCGAGATAAAGCGGGGTGTTAATATTCTAATAAATTAAATTAAAAAAAAAACAAGTTATTCATATTTTTTAGTGTTAGTGGTTGAATTAACTCAAAACATAACAAAAATATGAAAGTTAACACAAAACTATCATAATTCAACTCAACGAATTTGAATAAAATTAAAAAAAAAAACTATTGCAAACTACTCCGTGCTTGCGCGGCTTCAAAACAAATGCGAAATTAACGTCATGCGTTGTCTTCGTTGTAATCTGATGATAATGAATTGGGTTTACTAAAGTAAATCGATCCATTTTTGTTGGGCCACTAAAAAGCCCATGATGTTTGAAAACATATCCGTTAGACACGGTGTTTATTACGACTCAAACGTGATTCTTTTCTCCCAAACTCTCTCTCTCTCTCTCTCTCTCCCAAGTTCTCTCGAGTCTCGATCATCTCTTCGACGATTTCTACAACGGGGAAAAATTCTTTCATTCTTAGATTGGGTAAGCTTTTCAATTTATATAGATAGCGATTTTTGTTTTGGATTTGATTTAGTTTAGGGTTTTCGTTTCTTGATTTGATTTCACATGAAACTGATGTGATCGATTGGGTTTGGGTTTCTTTCATTTCCTTTTCGCGATTCCGATTTAGGGTTTTCAAGTTTTGTAATCGTGCTTATGTATTTCCTGTAGCGATCGCGAATCTACTTGGAAGCTTGACTCCGCCGTAAAAAAACGCCGTCGTCGTCGAGTCAAGGTACTTCTCTATCTGTGTATGTTAGGGTTTCCGTTTTCATGGTGTTTATTCTTAAATTTTGGTTTTATTTTTATTATATTAGACGATGAAATTGAAATTGAACGAGGACAAATGCATATGATCAATTCCCGTGGGTGAAATTCGTTCTGTGTTTAAGCAATTGACATCGACAAAGTTTTGAGATTTTGGATTCATATCTTATACATAAAGGTCCTTCATTTACACATGGTCTTTACTCATATAACAAGAATTCTAATCGTTAGGAACAGAACAAAACTCATTCTAATAATAATTGATGTGACTCTTGATCTCTTTTATTACTGTAAGTAACCTTGAATTTTCTTTTGCTAGACTCATACTGAAAATGCGATTACCGTATAACATAAATTAGGATTTGATCTCTTACAGATGATTGTAGATGGTTAAATACGTTCGAATCCTTTTGATTGATTTCTTGTACTAGCATTTATCACCACTGTCTAAATAAACTTCCTTTGTAGAACTGAGGAATCACAAGCTGAAACATAGAAATAAGATTTACTTTAAATTAAAGTGTTGATGCAACAGAGAACTTGAAACCAATATTATGATTTGTTTTGTATTGTACGGTTCTTCTTTCATCTCTTACTTTAGCCTCTCTCTCTGTTTTTGGTTTTCTAACAGTGTCTTGTATGGAGAAGTCATCGTTGACAAGTCACTGAAGCAACTAAAGAAGCAGCAGCAGCAGCAAATAGTTAAGCTCTTTTACTCACTCTTTTACTGGTTCACTCAAACTGCCGATTCTTAGACACTAAAATAATAGTGTTTTGACAGATTCTTGTTGGGGACATTGTCCGTCAGTCTATTGGTTGGTTGGTAGTGCATGCCTAAGGAAATGGAATTAAGGGACGGGAGATAAGTTGGTTGGTAGTGCATGCCTAAGGAAATGAAATAAAGGGATGGAAGATAAGAAAGATCGGTTATAAAAGTCTTCAGAAAAGACTAAGAGTTGGGTTTTGACTTGTCGGATGAGATGGAAGGGAAAAAAAAACAACTAACGATTAAAACAAGGGTCTTAAGTCTTAAGGCAAAGACAGATTCCTTAGTTTACTTGTACCCACGGCTGATAAAAAGTCTTAAGGCAAAGACTGTGATCTGGTAACGGAATGGTTACAATACTGGTACCCACGGCTTAGAAACAGTCTTTACAAAAAGACTGAGTTGGATTTTGACTTGTTGGATGAGATGGAAAGGAAAAAAAAAAACAACTAACGATTAAAATAAGGGTCTTAAGTCTTAAGGCAAAGACAGATTCCTTAGTTACATGTACCCACGGCTTGTAAAAAGTCTTAAGGCAAAGACTGTGCAGTAGAAACAGAATGGTTATAATACTATTACCCACGGCTTAGAAACAGTCTTTACAAAAAGACTGAGTTGGGTTTTGACTTCTCGGATGAGATGGAAAGGAAATAACAACCAACGATTAAAACAAGAGTTTTAAGTCTTAAGGCAAAGACTGTGATCTGGAAACGGAATGGTTACAATACTATTACCCACGGCTTAGAAAAAAAGTCTTCAGAAAAAGACAATGAGTTGGATTTTGACTTGTTGGATGATATGGAAAGGAAAAAAAACAACCAACGATTAAAACAAGGGTCTTTAAGTCTTAAGGCAAAGACGGATTCCTTAGTTTACTTGTACCCACGGCTTGTAGAAGTCTTTAGGCAAAGACTGTGAACTGGAAACAGAATGGTTACAATATTATTACCCACGGCTTAGAAAAAGTCTTTAGACAGAGACTTGAATTGGTTTTCCATTTGTTGAATGGAAAAGATGACCCACGGCTTAAGTAAAGTCTAAGGACTATAAACTAGCTTTGGTTTGGCTTGTTGGATGAGATAAACGACCAACAAGTTAAAAACGTCTCTAAGACAGAGAGACTATGAATTGGTTCGGCTTGTTGGATGGGATAAACGATCAACTTAAGAAAGTCTTTAAGACAAAGAGACATACGGTTGTTGGGGACATTGTCCATCAGTCATTGGTTGGTAGTGCATGCTAAGGAAATGAAATTAAGGGATGGAAGATAAAACACACGGTTTGAAAATGTCTTCAGAAAAAAGACTATTGAGTTGGATTTTGACTTGTTGGATGATATGGAAAGGAAAAAAAAACAACTAACGATTAAAACAAGGGTCTTAAGTCTTAAGGCAAAGACAGATTCCTTAGTTTACTTGTACCCACGGCTGATAAAAAGTCTTAAGGCAAAGACTGTGATCTGGAAACAGAATGGTTACAATACTATTACCCACGGCTTAGAAAAAAGTCTTCAGAAAAAGACAATGAGTTGGATTTTGACTTGTCGGATGAGATGGAAAGGAAAAAAAAAAACAACTAACGATTAAAACAAGGGTCTCAAGTCTTAAAGGCAAGACAGATTCCTTAGTTTACTTGTACCCACGGCTTGTAAAAAGTCTTAAGGCAAAGACTGTGAACTGGAAACAGAATGGTTACAATACTATTACCCACGGCTTAGAAAAAGTCTTTAGACAGAGACTTTGAATTGGTTTTCCATTTGTTGAATGGAAAACATGACCCACGGCTTAAGTAAAGTCTTAGGACTATAAACTGGTTGATTTGGCTTGTTGGATGGGATAAACGACCAACAACTAAAAAAAAGTCTTTTAAGACAAAGAGACTATGAATTGGTTTGGCTTGTTGGATGGGATAAACGACCAACAACTTAAAAAGGTCTCTAAGACAGAGAGACTATGA